CAGCACATGCCCCCCCCACCTAATACCCCAGCACATGTTCCCCTCCCCTACCTAAAACCCCAGCACATGCTCCCCTCCCCTACCTAAAACCCCAGCACATGCTCTCCCTGGAAACCTTTAAAACCCCTTGCCTCCCATCTTTTGGGGAGACAGGACAAATTTAAGAGCTCTCGTCTCCAGGCTGACGTCACCCAAAATAAAAACTATTTCCCTGCCATAAGGCTGGCGTTCCAGTTTTTACTTGGCCCATCTTGTGTGGCGGGTAAAGAACCTGGGTATGTATCTGGTAACAGTACTACATTTCTGTTGTGTATTGGTTTGATATGATTTCAAATCCATTTGTTTATGACTTAAGTGAAGTTGTTTTAATCCACTTGTTTATGACAAAAAACAAAAAAGTTGTTGTTATCATATAAGAATGAAGTAAGTTGTGCCAGGATGTTATCATCTCATCTGTCGTCCTTGATAAGAACTCAGTAGCCCAGCTGCTGAGGGGCCCCTCTGGGGGCTTATCCATAAGAACATGTGGAGAAGCAACTATGGCAGGGGACATTTAGACAATAAATACCCAGAGTTTGTGAGGAATATCCGAGAGTTTCCGTCTGGGCAAGGCGGCTCTTTGCTGACCCAAATAAGCTCTCTGAAGTCCCTTGGGGCATTAGCTCCTGCCAGGTGTAGGGGGAAGAGGGAGAATCACCCTCTGCCCTTTTCCTTAAGGTTCTTCTGGCTGGCCAAATAATCAACAAGACAGGTTAGCAGGAGAAAATAATACCAAGTTTAATAACATGTATACATGGGAGAAACTCCCGGGCTGCTCAGGGACGCGGAGGCGGGCAGCGGCGCGGGCACCGAGGTGGGACGAGGAACCACGAACGCCGCCCCGCCGCCACACCGCCGCCCCGCCCCGCGCATGCGGACTAGGCCGCTGCCGGGCCGCCGCGCGAGTCACCTGCCGTTGGCGAAGGGTGGGTGCTAAGCTGCAGACCCGTGTTATCCCAGCTTCGTGTGCGCGCCCGGCGACTGACCAGTCTCCATGATGCCGCCCCGCAGTGCCCCCTGTGGAGGTCTTGGCGCGCCTTGTCATCTCCGGAAGCCCCTCAAGCCACCTTAAAAAGATATATATTCTTCAATGAGGATAGCTGTCTCGATCTTACGGAGAGTGTGAATAAATAAAACCATCTTTAGGAAAGATGGCTATTATTTTAAACTTTATATCCCACAAACTAAATAAAAATACTGAAACCGAGCATGAAGAGGTTAAAAAGTCTTCCCGGGGCTAGAAGAAGAGAGCAATAACTTTGAGATAAGCTTGGCTACCTGCAGCTGTGCATATTCAGCATAATCAACTGTTGTTTAAAACTACCAGGTCTTTCTGTCCCTCCTTAGTATTTGAGTGACCTGCCTTTCCCAGGAAGTCAAGGTCCGGACGTCAAGATTCAGCCTCACAAGGCCACCGCAGGCTGAAGATGAAAACTAACCAGAAAAGTCCAGACAGTCAAGGAAAAGAAATTCAGTCTTCAACGCCAAACAGGCTGGTGGGAAGATGCCAACCAGCAAGGCCACA